TACATTGTGCTCATTAAAATCTCTACATGTTGGTCTAGTGTGAGTTGTAGAGTCTATATGGTATCATCTATTGGGATGTTAGTGTACATAGACTCAACATCAAAACTTTCCAGCTCCAATCAAGTTGCAAAAACGAGGTCAAGCTAACAGTATGCTTACTTAGGTGGAAAATTGTAATTTTTCTTATTTATCTTCATTTGTAAGTTTTTATTTGGTATTTGGGAGAGCATGGGCTCATTTTTATTATGCCTTTAAGAATTTTCAAATGTATTTTATGGCCACTTGCCTTATTAATTACCAAGTCGTAATTCTTTCTCGTTGATTCCATATCTTTAAAATATGCTCCTTGCCTTTGTTCCAGTCCGACAGCTTTCTTGCGTATTCTCTACTATTAGTGCGTACAATCCGCCGATCAAACGTATCTTAACTTTTGAGGTTTACATATCCTGGACTTGGAATCAACCTCTTTGGAATGGAGATGAGGGGCGCCACGGCTACAACTACAGGCCATTTAAGCGGCAGTAATTCCGTCTCCAAGACCGCCAATGGTAACTCAGAACACAGATTCGAGTCTGTCGGGGCTCTCTGGCAAGCCGTTGTGCTCGATCTGGAAAGAGCTATCGAACAGGGATTTACATCTCATGACCCAAATGTCGTGTTAGTGGCCACTCGGTAATTCATTTTTTATTTTTCTATCTTCTAATTTCTTATTTTTGTAAGATAAGTAATCATTTGATTCAAGCTGTTTTTAAACGCCTGCATTAGAATTCTTAATAGTTGATTAAGGCGCGATTGATGTTGCGATACTTTTCATTTCGTTTGAAAAGGCGAGGGGAATGGAATCGTAAGTTGGTCTTATTGAAGCTGTAGGAGGGTTGCCTTGGCGCTATGATTGTAGATTTGTGTGAATAAGTCATCGGCGCAACGCCCTGCAATCCCGATTAATTCTTGCTGAACTTTCGTCCGTCATGTGATTGGCATCGTTAGAGCAGGACACCATTCTCTACCTTTCTTATCTTCGTGTTTTGGTGAATTGTCGCCAAGCCTGGTGTCCTGCTCTGACGATGTCCGTTACATAACGAAAGAAATCTTAGCGAGGATTCATCGGAGTCATAGGGCGGTGCGCCGAGGAGCCATGCGCACAAAGCTAGTCACGGGGAGTCCCTTATTGCTTCCGGTGAGGCCAACTTACAAATATCTTCAATTCGCCTCTTAAAACGAAATACATGGTATTCCATTATCAATCTATTAAGGGATTCTTCAAAACCCAGTTTTTCTATATACCTTAAGGTCTTATTGTCTTCAGCTCGATATTTTGTATTGACGATTGTGAAGGATGAAATGCATCTGTGCTTCTAGTTTTGATGGATGCTCAACATAAATATTTGACTGAAGCAACCAGAGACTATGTGTATTCTATCCTCTAAAAATTGGGAGCCAATTCTCAAACTTCTCCTTTTGACTTCT